CCCCCCGGCCCTGTCGCTGCACCTGGCTCCTGGCCTGGGGAATGCACGCAATGGGGGGAGCTGCATCAGGATCTGAACTTCTCCCTGCAGTGCTCGCCCCTTCCCAGCACTGCTCAGGCCCCCAGCTGAGCTTCTGAGTCAGCCAGGGCTTTACACACTCAGCCAGGTATGTAAACAGGCCCCAGTTCAGAGCAGATTCCTGGCAGGAGATGAGATCATGGAGCTGCTAATCCGGGACAGATGGGCTCAGGGAGTCCTTCCAGGGCACAATCCTCTGGGGAGTCGGCGGGGGTGTGTGCGCGCGTGTGAGCAATCAGGGCATCTCCCCCAATACCCCTCCCTGGGACTGCGCAACTCTCCGGTGCCCAGCCGCGGGCCAAGAACATCCCACAAAGGGCTGGTAGGGGGCACCCCACGGCCTGGAGCAAGGAAGGGCTTGGAGGACTCATCCAGGCTTCCCACCCTCTCTGGGCACTGCCTGCAGCACCCCAGCCCTCGGGATCTTCGAGAGCCCCTGGGAAAAAGGAGAACGACCCCAGTTCAATGCCCCCTCATTCATCCTATCAGGCAGTCGGTTCCCAAGGGTCCCCACTCATCTGGCACATGAGCTCAAGTTAGGAGACGCCCCAACCCCTGACCTTGTATTACCCCAGTGCTGGGCTCCCTGCTTTCCCCTCCCCCTCCAAGGCTGGGCTCCCCCACTTTCCTCCACCCATCCCTCGTGCCCCCCCTTGCTGCAGTGGTCAGGGGCGGCTGGCCCGAGCTGGAGCTGCTGGGCGGGTAGGCAGCGCAGAGGATCAGGGAGAGAAGCGTCCGCTGCCCCATCTGCCTGCACGGCAGCATGCCGGGCACAAGAGCTGTGGGGGCAGCCCCCTAAAAAGCCCCAGCAGACTGGGAGGGCAGGAGAGAGAAGGGCGATCGCCCCCTGCTGGAACCAAGGCCTCTCTCTCCGTACACAGCGGGCCCAGAACAAAGGGAGCAGCAATTCCTCCGGTGAGCCCCTGCCTCTGCTGAGGGGAAGAGGCAGGGCCATAATTGAGAAGAGGACCATTTCTATCCTCATGCAGCCAGAGCAGGGGCCATCTCCCTCCCTCGCTCGTCTAGGGCTCGTGGCAGCGCAGCATCGAAGCTCGTTAACAGCTGGATTTATTCCCTCCCCCTCCCCCCGTATCATCTCTGCATTGTACAAGTTGGGAAACCGAGGCAGAGAGCGGCTAAGGGGCATGCCCAAGGTTGCCCAGGGAGCGTGTGGAACCCTAGGGCTCCCAAGGTCCATGCCGGCACAGGAACCGCAAGGCCCTCCACCAGCCCAGCGGCCGGGGTCGTAGCACGTCACTGAAGAATTCACCTGCCTTGGAAGCCGCCCTGGGAAGCGGCTGATACCAGAGGCTGGTCGCCCTGGGATTTGACGGCCCAAAGACAACGCCGCCGCCTCCTTCCTCCGGCCGGAGCAGCCTTCCCCACCCAGCCAAAGCCTGTGACCAGCGGCTCCCACACCAGCTGTGGCTTGCAGCTCTCCTTCGCCCCATTTTCTCTGCCGCCGCCTCCTCTGCTTCACATTTGGGTGATTAAAGGCTGTAAAGGCCTGGAATGTGCTGCCCCCCCCCCCATGCCACTTCCTGTCTGCAACTAATTTAACATCCTCAGAAACATCTGACAGAAATATTCCCGTCTGAAGCGGGCAGGAGCGCTGGGGCGTTGGGCATTGGCCACAGCGCTCCCCCACCGCCACGGCAGATTGGCTCCTGGGCGCCCCCTAAAGCCCGGAGGAGAGAGTGCGCCAGGGCAAACAGAACGGAAAAGGGACCGTAAAAAACCCCCCATGAGCTGGTTGATGCGGATCAGCGCAGGGGGAGGGTTGGCAGCACAAGCCCCGGGCCCCCCTCAGTGGGAGAGAAACAAATTTGTCCGCTATTACCAAAACCTCAGAGGCTGCTGGAGCCCAAGGTCGTGAGGCCTGGGCCCCTCCACTGAGACTGCGCCAGTGCCTGACTGGGGTGCTAACGCCCCTCAAAGGAACAGCCCAGGAGGGGGCACTTAGCAGGGCTAGGGCTTCCCTGCCCCCAGGCATCCCCCCCCACCGCTGAGCTGGGGTCTCCCGCACGTCCACCGTTCTCGCACTCCAAGTTCAGTTCCACCAGGCAGGGCTTGCCCCAGGCCACCCGGAAAGCCGGCAGGCGCCTGGCCAGGGCTGGGCTCAGCTCCGGCTTGTCCAAGGGCAGCGGGTGATGGCGAAGAGCTGGGCCCTGGCCAGCATGGCTACCACGATGCCCTGGCGCCTCTCCCCCGTCATGAGGTCCCCAGCTCGCCTGCAGGACAAGCACAGAGCCAGGAGCCAGAGAGCAGGCGAGGAGAGCAGGGCTGGGGGAAGCAGAGCCGGGGGGCACCCAGAGGCAGGGGGAAGGGAGATCCGAGGGGCACCCAACACCCAGCCCACACACCATCGTGTATGTCTGTCTTCTTCACAAGAGGCCTCAGGTGCACGCCCAGCGCCTGGCAGCGCTCCATCAGCTGCCTGACGTTCCTCCTCACCCCCCTACCTCGCCCACCACCAGCACTGGGCGCGGCCACTCCTGCAGGTGCCACCCACTCCCCCCTCCGCGACTGGCTGATGAATGCAGGCTTCCTTCAATGCCCATTGCCCCGGATACACCCCTCTCGCACTGTGGTGAGGACCCCTGGGGTCTAGCCCTGCTGCTGGCTTCCTTTGGGCACTTCAGTTAGGTCCCCGAGTCCCAAACGGACTCTGACCATTTCGGTGCCTCCATTTTGGCTGGCCCCGACTCGAGGCACCAGGAAGGAGCCCCGCCCGCTGAGGCGCTGGGTGCCCGCAGGGCCGATCGCCGTCAGCTGAAGCCGACTTATGTCCCGCAGAGTCAGGCGGCTGAAGCCGGGTACCCGTTCCGTAAAGCAACCCAAAGCAGAAGCCGTCTCTGAAACTATGGGGCTTTATAGTCCGTGCCTCAGTTTCCCTATGCACGCTAGGGTAACACTTCCTGTCAAGCTTGATTCTTTGGTGTCTTGAAGCGTTAAAAGCCTTGCAGAGAGGGCATCAGGGATGGAGGAAGGTTGGACGCTGCAGCTGCCTTTGCTGTTTAACCCTTTCAGTGCAGGCCCTTTGCAGTAGCTCCTCCTCGTTCGAATCCCACTGCCACCCAGGCAGCGGTTGGGTCTAATGGGGGGCACTGAGTGGCACAAGCTCACGGGGGGAACCTACAGCATGCCAGCCAGCAGCGGCAGGGTTAACTCAGAGAGGCACTGCTCCAGCAGCCCATACCAAGGCAAAGGGATCATTGCAATTCTCTCTGGAGTACCCCAGCCTGCGTGAACAGCCCGCTACTGCTGCCAGCTCAGGGAGCCGTCCCTCTAGTCCAAGTGGCAGAGGTCTGGCCTGTCGGTCCAGGGTTCAAAGAGCCTGCAAAGAGGAAGAGAGATTCATGCTGGCCGACAGAGGGGGACGTGTTCTGGTTCTCATTAGAGGCTGAAACCCAAACAGACGGGCGGGAGCCCCCGGCACTGATCCTGGCTGAGAACCTGGCAGGAGGCAGACCAGGTCTGAGCTCTGTGGACACCTCACCTGGGGGCTGGAGCTTTAGCCAAGATGCCCACATCCCTGCCATGAGAGAGGGCCAGCTCCGGCTGGCTCCCAGGGAAGATCCTTAGCTAGCCCAGGGATGAGGCTCTAGAGAAATGCCTCAGGGCCCATCCACGCTAGGGATCGTAGCCAGACAGACATTCAGAAGCCGGGCAAGGAACACGGTGGCAAGCCCAGCGCGGGAAAAGGGGCTCATGCTCCCAAGTCCCCTCCTTCCTGCTGAGATGAGATCCAGGCTGTGCAGGGCCTTCCCCACACCAAAGGAAGACTCAGTCTCTGCCCCCCGGGATGGTTGCCCACCTCCCTGAATTTTGATCCAACTTGGGGCAACTTTTTTCCACGCATGCGACTTCCCTAACTGCAGCCCCGCAGGAGGCCACGCCGCCTGCCCTGGTGGAAGAGTTTGGACGTGAGGGCAAACAGGTGTAAACCCACTGCCGTCAGCACCGCACCAGGGTTGAACGGGATCCCCAGTTCCTCTCTCGGGGCTGTTCCACATGGGACAACCGACAAGCGTGCTACTTCTCACCCTGGCCTGGCGATGCAAAGGGCTGCAGAAGTCACTCCAGAATGCAGCTGGCCAGCGTCCCCCTCCAGCCTCAAAGTACAGGCTGTACGTGGCTGGGCACGGAGGTTATAGGACAGGAACAACTTGGGAAGGGAGCTCTTTCCAGTACCTGACCTCATTGAATGGAGAAGTTCAGCTCGGGCAGAAAAGCCAGTCCCAGAGGTCTCATGCTGGCTCATTGGTTGGGGCACCTGTGGGGACTGAACCCCTGATCTGTGTCTAAAAGCACACGAATCTCTACAGCTTCGGCTAATGCCCAAGCTACATTGAGACCCGTGTGAAAGTTTTAGACAAGGAAGGTTCAAAGAAATGCAGATGTTAAGTCCTCACAGCAACCTCAACTCGGCCCTGTGGCGCTCCTGGCATTTCTCTTGCGTAGTTCAATCCATTTGTAGGTTTTCAGAAATGTTCACAAAGTGCCATCTGTCTGCACACGCAGAAGGCAGGGCCCTAAATGTGTAACACACACACAATATCCACTGTGTCAATATGGATGAGATTACACTGCTGCGGGCAACAAACAAAAATTACCCATGCAACTTCGTGATGGCCATGAGGAAGAACTGTGCTGGGAACCAGGACACCTGGGTTCGGCGCCCAGCTCCACCACAGACTTGGGGTACAACCTTGGGCAAGTCATCAAAATTCCCAAGACAGAAAGATCCCACATTGCAGATGGGTAAATCAAGTCTTCATTTATGGCTGTCAAGCATTTTGAGGTCCTCTTATGAAAGATGCTAAAGAAATGCCAAGTTTTATCACACAGGAAGTGGGTGCAGTGGGGGGAGGGGGAGGGAAAGTCAAGGAGTTGAGAACGTGTATTCCTTTATAAAGTTTATTAGATCACATCCACCGTACATTGCTAGCAAACCGGACAACCCATCCCCCTACAGAATGAGGCCATGTTCCTCTTCAAGTTTAAGGCATAAATGTTTTTTTTAATCGGATTGTGCTTTATTTTACTTTTGGAAAGAATCTGTAGACAAAGCTACAATAGAAATACATTTTTCCGAGCACCAAACACACCCCTTGTGTGGATTTGTCATTCGCCCTTCTCTTCCCTGATGGACAGTGGGGACTGGAGTGTGTGAGTGAAAGACTTGGCTAGTCCATTTCTCCTCACGGCTGGCTCTAAAGGAAAAGCATAGGCAATGGTCCCATAAATAATGCCTGGAGGACCACTTGGTCAGAGACGGGGAGTCTGAATTCCTGGGTTGGCTCTCAGCTATCAACCTGTGCCTGCAAATTCTTTGCCAGTCTCCCCAAGCAAACACTGCTCTATTCCATACAGGAATGAGAACTGCATTCAGATCTGCATGGGATGCAATCTCACACAAGGATGGTGGATTTGTTAACACGCCTCCTCCCCAAGATTCAGGATGCTTGGAGATCAGTATGTTGCACAACTGATTGGCACGAAGGCTCCAACACTACATGCGGCAGGCCGGAGAGCTGGGAGTACCAGTGGTGCTACCCTAGTCAAACCACTTGCTTGAATTCACTTCCCCAAAAGGCAGATCCACCGTGAGCCATTCATTTCCCAAAAGAGGTAGAGAAGTAGGGGGGCCCCCATGTAACCACCCCACAGTCATACCACACTGCACGCAGGGATTAGGCATGGGGGCCAGTTTTTTTTCCAAATTTGGGTGCTTACGTTAGCTTGCCCAAATGACAACTTAAACAACCGGGCCCTGTAACGTAGACACTCAAGACTGAAGACCAGGTTTCACATTGTTATTCCAGGGGTGAGTGGAGCTGGAAGGAATCTTGCAGGTCAGAAGGAAACCATTCCCCTTGAAGGGGAGCATCCCAACCTGCCAGATTCTTCCCCACACAGAAGTCTCAGAGCATGGCCCAAGCATTGCTATCTGTGAAGAAGACTGGAGCAGAAAGAGCCCTCAGCAAGTTGCATCCTGACTCCATATAACCAGAGAAGGTACAAGCAAAGTGAAAGGAGGGAAAGAAAAATTTCTTCAAGTAGAAGAACATGGCAGAGGCCAACCAGAGAGCAGGTACCCCTGGAATTCAAGCATCTTCAGAACAGGGCCAGCAACGACCCCTTGAATTTCCACTGGCCCGAGCAATTCCAAGAAGGATGACAGAAAAATCCACGATGAGGCTTGTAGGTCCCTTGGTGCTCTATAAAAGCCAGCGGGATTCTGGGAAGCTCCAAATACTTACCACCCCGTTTTTGGAAAAAAAAGTAGTAGAAATCTTTAGATTTACATCATTCAAAAAAGTTACAAAAACTATATATATATTGTATTATATACACACAAACCTCAATACAGCACACGTGCTAAAAAACGTCTTCTCTACAAGTTGCAAATATTGCACTGTCGGTGGTTAAACCCTGATCTTCACCCAGGGTATGAAGTTGAGAGCATTGTTTGAGCCTCTTGCCCAGTGTTGGTTCTTCTTGCCTTTTTTTGTTTTTCTTTGTGAAGAGAATTGAGGTGCTGTTCAGCGCACGAGCGTGATCTAACCAGCCACACATCACAAAGTCACCTCCAGACCAGCAGCAACCTCCGCACGCAACAGGGTCCGGTGGCTAACAAGCAGTGCATTTAGAGAGCCTCTCTCCCCTTCTTAGTGGCATTTGCAGTTCAGCATCTGCAGATGATTGTCCCAGGCCTACAGTAGATGTTTCCTCCAGCATGAGCCACAACGGACCCATGTCCTCTCCTCTCAGCCCTTGTTGGAAAGAAGCTACCGAATGACAGTGTCCCAAGGTAGAGACTGTCCCTTTTTTGGTCAGGAGGCGTCACGGCGTGGAAGATCCAAACCATTTGTAACCATCGTCTGTTGTAGTTTGACGGAAAGGGACCCTGGCGGACCGACGGAAGAAAGTTGCAAGGATGGAAGGTGCAGCGGCTTTAACGATCCATTGTTATGAATAATAAAAGCAAAGCACATCGCTCAACGGGATAGTGACTAGCAACCCAGGGCACATGGCTTTGAGCCCGTCAAGAATCGAACTCAGATGGTAACATTCCTTGACCATCTCTTTGCGTTTTATACCATCCACCCTGCCTCCCTCCCACAGATCTTCACCAGGGACCTGCGACTTCTAGGAGAAATCCCTGGTCATGGGGGAGCAGCCTGTCTCCATACTGTGGCGTAACATACCTAGAGTATACGGGGGCAGGGGAGAGATCCCTTTCCTAGAGCCAGGGAATGGGTTGGGGAGCAGGGGAAAGGACAGACTGCTCTTCAACCCACCTCACTTCAACCCCTCCTGACTCTAGGACCGTGAAGTTTCATGGGGTTCTGCAGAGAGATGGAATTGAGCCATGATCCAGAACCGAATCTCCGCTCCCCCGTCTCTGGGAAGTTTGGATCCAGCCGTTTATGAAGCTCAAGCCAAGATACCAACATCTCCCGAGTTCGAGGGGGGTTGGAGTCAGGTGTGGAATTCCCTACGGCATCAAGCTAGTCACTGCCCTTCCTCTCCAAACCAAAGCCCGGCCCAGTGATGGGCAGTCACTGGCGCCAGGGGCAGGGAGAGCTGACTGGCACCAGGGCGCTTGTTATTGCAAACATCAACATGAGGCAGAAAGGCTGTGGATTCCACAGCTCTCCGCCCAGATGCATCCGGAGCATGGCTGGAGTAAAGCCCTACCAGTCTCTTCCACCCCTGGCTTACCTGATGGAAGGAGAGTTTTTAAATCAGGGACAGGAAGTGTGGGGAACAACATGGCAGCTCCCTCCACCTTCCAGCTAAGTGACAGTAACCGTGTCCTGCAAGGATCGATCCATCACCCCCTTGTTTGGGGGCCATTCACTCCCAGACGCTCTGGTGATGGGCTCATGCCCTGCATCGTAAACATGGAATGTTCCGTTTTCACGGGGACTGCTGGGCTCCTTGCAGCTGCGAGCTATGTCTGAATGGGGAGATGCCCAAGGCACAAACATCACTAGCCTCAGACGGCTGCTTCTAGCCTAACGCAACCCCCACTTCCCCCGTTCCTCTCTGGATCAACAAGGCCTTGGCCATGCAGAGATCAGAACCTGGGTCCCTCAGAGAAGGTGCCAGCGTGGGGTTCAAAACTCACCATGACCAGGGATGGAAAGTCTGCAGGACTGGACCACCCCCCAACCCACCCAGTTGGTTAAGAGCAGCGAAGGGTTGGCCGTTGGCTGCAAAAACAAGCCTCTTTCTGGGCCAATTCCTATTTACCGTGTGCCACTTCAGTATCAGAAACAGACAGACGGACAGACAGAAGAACTCTCCTTCCCGCTACAAGCAGGGGTATCCGGTGCGCAGCCAGGCAGGAGTTCCGTTACAGCCGCGGAGCTGCAGGAGGAAGGCAAAGCTAACGAACGGCCGGGTTTTATTGCTGGTGAAGTCATCCAATGAGCCCCGCCGGCTCGTGCTCCATGGAACAGACCAGTCTTGGGAGACAAGAAGATTGCGCACATTTATTTTTGTTTTTTTAAAAAACGTATAAATCAATAGGAAAGTTAGAAGAGGCCCCACCAGCAAATGACGGGGGCCCTGGGAGGTGCTGGATTTGGGTGCCCCTGTTGGAAGAGGCAGACAAACCATATTTTGAAGAATCCCAATGAAAGCGCAACACCCTTCTTTGCCAGCAGGGGGTCTATACACATCTAGGATTTGGGGGATCAGTAGGTATCGTTGTGGGCCCCTGGTATTTGTTGCCCTCCAAAATTCAACCTCTGGGAGGAAAACAGAACAGGCTCTCGCCAGTCTCATCACATTAAAGCTTTTCTGCAGCAGATTGGCCTCCTGCCGAAAGCAGTCCTTGGTTTTGGTACAAGTTCTCTACGTAGTGCAACAGGGTCTGGTTAAGGCCACCCAAGGAGGACTGAGAATGCAGCGATGGTCATCGTCTCGCATCTATTGCGACGTTTCCCTGCTGGGCGGCAGGGGGCACCGGCTGCGGGTTTCCTGGCCTCTCCATCCAGCGAGAAAGTCACAAAGAAGAATACAAAAACGTTTTCCACTTCAAGCTCTGCAGGAAACGGGATGGGCTGGGGGGACGCCAGATCATCCCACGCGCATCCTGGCTCGGCAAGCCAGGGTCACCGGTGCAGGCCCCTGGCTCGGAAAGGGATCCGGAGCTCTGCATACTCGGAGAGCGAGTGGTCGAGAGCCCCGGTGCGGCAAGGCTCCCACGGTTCCCGGTGATCGCCATGCTCCCTGGGGAAGTGCAGATACCTCCGAGTGGCGAGGCTGGACCGGCCCCCTCCGCCACCCCTCAGAGACCTCCTGCTGCAGGACATCTCTGTCCAGTAATGCTCTGGGGACAGGTCACCTCACATCAAGCCTGTCCCTTGGACTCGGGCGGGTTGTACTCGGTCTCTCCAGAGGAGACCTGGGAGATCCGGCGCGTGGAACGCCACAGCCGTCTGTGGAACTGCCCCGTCCGCACCTGGGGAGAAAGCAGAATGAAGGGGCAGGGCTGAGGAGCGACGTGGAGGTGCTTCGTGGAGAGGGATGGGGTCGCTCGGCGGAAGCAGGGCCGTAGTCCGTCTTGGCTACGTTACAGATCCGGCTTCTGTAAAGGGGGCCGCCCCGCATCACAGAGCCCCGCCCTCCAGGCCAGGGTCTCATCACACAGCTGGGCTGTGCAGCCGCTCGGCCCCTGGGATGCCCAGCCCCTCGAGGGTTGGAGCCCGCCCTCCGGCACGGACGAGCCGTCTCACCAAAGAGAGCGGGGTGGAGCGGGCAGAACCTTTGTCCTAAGGGTTCGTGCCAAGGCTTGGCTGATCCCAGCCATTTCACACTCCGGAGAGGGGCCGGATTTTGAGCGTTCTGCTGTGGGAAATCCAGCCCTGCCGTCATGCCGCCCACGAGGAGTCAATCCCTCAGTCTGCAGACAGCGGCGCGGACTTCATTCATGGCTATGGGCCCACCTTGGCACCTACCTGGGCTGGCCGGGAATGCAGTGCCTTCCCAGTCTCACCCTCCGCCTCCAATCATGCAACTACTTCACTGGTGCTTCCAGCTCATACCGCACCCTTTCCTGCCCACCCCCACCGAACCACGGTCTCCGCTTACCTCCGAGGGCTGGCCCGCTCCCACCACAATCAGCTTCCCATCCTCCAGCCCCACCAGGATGTGACTCTTCTCCTTGGTCACGGACACGCTGTGAACCGGGACCTTCATGGGCATTGGCAACACCGCTGCTTGGAGGCTGCAACGGCAAGGAGGGGGGGCATTTAAACAGTGGGGAGAGCTGCTGGGGACTCAGCACAGACTGTGGAAAGGGACAGACGGGCAGGGTGCCCTGCCAGAGACCCCCCCAAACCCACCCCCTCTCCCGGATCTTTAAATCAGGGGTCTCTCAAAGCGCCCTGATCACGCAGCAAACCGGCTCCTGGCTGCGCTCCGAGCCAGATCTGGGGATTTTACTGCATTTCACACCTGTTCACCCAGCCAAGCCGACGCAGCTCCAGGACAGGGAGCTGGGTCCCAGTCTGGCTTCTGCATCAGTCAAATAGTTGGCTAAGTCCCAGTTGCAGGGGGAAATGCCACACCGGGACAACTGGCTTGCGCGGGCCTCTGAGGGCAGAGTTTTATTCCACAGACCCTTTGGGACAGGGGCAACGCGTGAAAAGGAGAAAGCCAAGCTTGACTCTCAGATCCCAGGCTGGTGGGTGGGAAAACCAAACCATTTCACTTCGCAAACAAGAGTCAATCTGATCTGGAATTCCTGCCGTGCAGAATCCCACAAGGCCAGCAGGGAGAACCACGTTTTCAGGGGTCGATAAATCCAGTTTTAAGTGCCGTCCATAGTGTCGCCAGTAGCCCGGCCCCGCGCAGACAGTGATTCTCTTTCACCCACAAGAGCCGGCAAGACCAGATCAAACTGGACAGGGCCACAGGCAGGTTTGCCCCAACCAGCCGTGGAAGCGGGAAAAAAGCGCAGACATCTTCGTCTTTTAGGAAGAGCAAGAGTCAGGCTAACTCTGACCGCTAATAACGCGAGACTTCCAGGCACGGCCGGGCGAGTGGAAAAGAACCGTAAGAGCGGTTGTTTTGACCTGGTGCTAGATAAGAATGGAACGCAGACTGTAGCAAGAACTGCTGAGGAAAGTAAGATAGCAGGAAGGAATATGTATAAACACAATGCAGTTGTTGATCATTACTGTGTGTCACAAAAGGTATCAATGCTTGCCCTAATCGTTTATCTTTTGGGAGACCTGCCGTTGTGCACACTCCTCCTTGCAATATTGCTTGAAAATTAAACTGCCTCTGACATGTTGCAACCAACACAAGCGTGAAGGACTGTGTTATTCTTCCCCACTGCAAACGTCAGCTTCCTAATCCCTGTAAGGAGGCCCCAGATACGGCCCCAACAGACACCTCATCAGTACGGATTCTATGGGCCAGGGAAACCAGCAGAGGATTTCAATGTAATCTCAAAAGAATAATCTCCATTCCCATTCATGGACTTTATGGCCAGAAGGGACCATTGTGATCATCTAGTCTGAACACAGGCCAGAGAACACATTCAGCTCACCCCCAGATGGGACATGAACCCACAACCCCGCTTGGGAGCCCCGCGCCTTACCCATTAGTACATTTCACCTCCCGTGCTACTGAGCATAAGGTACCAGCCACGCCCTAACCTCATCCTGAATAAAACGGGACGTTAATGGCTGCATGACTATATCTCTTCCACGGGGGGAGCTCCTCCAGAAGATGGTAGGCTACCCTGGGGGGAAGAGAGGTGCAGATGCAAGACCCACACGCTATGCTATCGACCCACACGCTGGGTGGTTTTAGAGAGACAGCAACTGAGGAAGAGCGTTCGCCGCACGCGGAGGATCATGGCTGTGACACACTCGGGACCCTCGTCCCCTGCACGGGAGTGACACGCGGCACTGGTGGTGGGCCCAGGAAACCGACGAGGGGACATTTACCTCTGAAGATCCAAGATCTGGAGAGAACACTGCATGGTCCCCAGAACCACGAACTCCTCGGTGACACACAGGGCTGTGACCTGCTCCTCCAGCAGGACGGAGGAGAGATGCTTGCCGTTGACGGAATAAAGGTGCAGGGCAAATTTATCCTTCAACAAGAGAAACGAGAAGGGCGTTGGGGGAGCAACCGACAATGGGTTGAAAACTTTCCAAGGGCGCCTCTATTCTAGGACGCGACTGGGTGAACAGCTTTGGGCGTGGCCGCGGAACCATCTCTCCATGACTCCCCGTTCAAATGGGCCTGGTTCTTACCTTCTCGGGCATCACCAGCCATAAAGGTTCTGCAGGCCGAGCTATACCATCAGCCACGCCTCCCCACTGCCTGCCACAGGCGAGACTGGAACTTACTACCCAATCCCGCTGGTGATGCACACGAAGGAGTAAGAACCAGCGTCCTCCCACTTAGCAGTGCTGGCTCTGCGGAGTTGGAAGAGTGAAAATCTCCCCAGAGCCCTCAGTAAAACATGCCTCTGGATCCACGCCGGGAGCAGATCCACGAGAGGTGGGGATGCCATTTTTAAGAGAAGAGCAGCACTTTACTATACCAGTCAAATACCTAGCGTGACCAGGAGGACAGAAAAGCGACAGGTCTCACTGCAATACGAGAGCTACGCAATGCATTGAGACACTACGGGAACCAGCACTTTGGATCGACAGATGGAGCCTCAGAGAGGGAGCAACTTTTGAGCTCTCTTCACTGCAATCATGTGGAATGACCTCTATCGATGAAACCATTGAAACCGGAGCAGCGTCTGTGCTCAGTCTAACCATCTGCAAGAAACCTCCACGCTACACAAGACCCTTCACTCTCATTTTCCCTCTTGGAGATGCAAATTATCTCTAGATACATTTACACCCCCACACACACATTGTGGGACCCTCCCGGCGTAGGTGTGAAACCAGGAGAAACTCACCAGCTTGGATTAAGTTTCCCTGTGTGCTCTCAGGGTAAGTCTGCACTGCAGTTAAAAACCTGCGGCTGGCCCATGCCGGCTCGCGGGGCCTGTGCTAAGGGGCTGTTTAGTGGGAGTGCAGACGTTCGGGTTTGGGCTGGAGCCTGGGCAGGAGGGTCCCTGAACGTCTACACCACAATTGACAGGCCGCAGCTGTCTAACTGCAGTGTAGACATACCTGGAGAGGCTCCTCGAGGCATAGCAAGTAGTACTCCTGGGGGAATTCTGCACCACTGCGTGTGCACATAAATAATGTGCCGTGCATAATGTTTTTTCCCACGCAGAAAATAACTTCTGCCAAAAAGTCGCTGCAGTTCTGCCTTTTGCTCACCCGGGGCCGCTGTGGTGCTAATACAGAGCAGCCACTCCTGCGTGGGAGCAGCCCCAGCTGCCGATAGGGAAGGGAAGAGGTTGCCTGCTTGCCAGCACCCTGCCAGCGTGGCCAGGTCAGGAGACAGGGAATATGGGGGGACATACAGCGTGGGGCTGGGGGGTGACAGACTGGGATTCTTAAAGGCTATTAGGAGAGGATAGACTGGGGTAGTGGCTGAATGGGAATGGAGGCGCTGGGCTACATGGGGCCGGGAGGAGGGGGTGCAGGAACACATGGGGGAAAGGGGTGGCTGAGGGGGCACAGAGACACATGGGGACGGGGGGGTGGTGCATGGACACATGGGGACAAGGGCAGATATGCCTGACTGAATGGGAGAGGCCAGGGGTCAGCCAGGGTCTGCATGGGGGAGGCTCCCTAACAAGAAACAGGACAGCGCCTCCTGCCGGGTGGTGGATGGGTTGTTCCTAGACAGGGATAAGTCCCCAGCTAGATTTATTTGGGATCGGAATCTGGCTGCTGATGATCTGCTCCGAGGCACGGTGCCATCACCACAGCAGGGTGGAGTTACCGTCCCTTCCCTGCTGGGTTTCGGAGCGTGTCCGAGGCGCCCGTCCTTGTCCCCAGCGTCCCATAGGGAAAGGCCATGCTTGCCCCTGCATTGCTGCTGGGCCCGCAGGTCCCGGCCCACTCACCTTCAGGGAGGATCTCCCCGCCACGGTGGTCTGGACGATGATCTGGCCCTCCAGGCCCACGGCGAGGTTCGAGACAGTGGCGGGCAGCGAGCTCTCACAAGGGGGCTTGATGGACTTCATGAACTGGCCCCGGCGGATGGTGTGGACGATGATGGTGCCGTCCTGCCACAATGAGAAGGCCTTTCGGCTGTCACCAGGGCAACTGGGTGCTTTGCTCCCATTTACCATCAATGGGCCCTCAGTGTCTAATTCCCATAGGCCTCTGAAAACCCTAGCCTTATTCTCCACCTGCCCTGAGCCTTTCATGAGGACGCCCAAAAGCTAGGTGGGCGACACAGATGAGCCATTGCCCTTTCATCTGGCTAAAGTCTCCACCTCATCTTTGCTGGGCAGGTTTCCTGTTGGTGCATGCTCTCTCTCCGGCCCTCCCACAAAGAGGCGTCCTGAGAACGGGGTAGCAAGCCAAACACCCCCAAAGCTGGACTGCCAGTGTGGCGAGCTCCAGGACAATGGCGGGGTGGAGCTGGCATGACAGACAGGAAACCACTTCAAGCCCAGCACCCCTAGCTCCAGCACCTACGGATCCTCTCCCCAGGAAGAGACGTTAAAATGGCAAAGTGACCATATGCAAATGGAGAGATTTTTGCCTAGGTGCATAAAACCTTTTTCTCCCTCTTGACTTAGCTACAAGCCACTCCAAAGCCAGGATGACACCTGATTTCCTATGCAAAACGATCCGCTCACTGTGCAATAGGCCACGAGGTAGGTGGGGAAGCTGGGAGTTAACCGAATGAGAAATAATTTGCTGTGTAAGACTGAAGGTCAAATGGGGTAACAGGCAGTTTGCCCTAAGAAATCAAAGCCACATTTTCACCCTAACTTACCAACTACCCATTTGTTTGCCTTGTAAATCAAATACACTGTGGCTAATCTGTTTTTGCCCCATCAATGAGTCTTTCACTCCAAATTAGAGGCTGCACATTTGCTTGTCTTGTGAGTAAGATCTACAGTGGAACCTCAGCGTTCCGACCTGACCAATCAACCACACCCCTCATTTGGAACCGGAAGTACACAATCAGGCAGCAGCGGAGACGGGGGGAAAAAAGCAATCGAGTGCTGTGTTAAACATAAACTACTAAAAAAAATAAAGGGAAAGCAGCAGTTTTCTTCTGCATAGTAAAGTTTCAAGGCTGTATTAAGTCAACGTTCAGCTGTAAACTTTTGAAAGAACCGTGTTTGGTTCGGAGTTATGAACGTTTCAGAGTTACGAACAGCCTCCATTCCCGAGGTGTTCGGAACTCGGACGTTCTGCTGTACATCTCTCTGGGTGTGGACAGCGGCTCTTGTTCTGTTGTGTCCCTAGCCTCTGTTTGTCAGAGGGTGGAGATGGATGTCAGGAGAGAGATCACTTGGTTACTACCTGTTAGGTTCACTCCCTCTGGGGCACCTGGCATTGGTCACTGTCGGTAGACAGGATACTGGGCTCGATGGACCTTTGATCTGACCCAGTACGGCCATTCTTATGTTCTAAACTCTAAATAACATGAAATGCTTATTTATTTTATTAATGGAGATATCCCATCTCCTAGAACTGGAAGGGACCTTGATAGGTCATCGAGTCCAGCCCCCTGCCTTCACTAGCAGGACCAAGTACTGATTTTGCCCCAGATCCTTAAATGGCCCCTTTAAGGATTGAACTCACAACCCTGGGTTTAGCAGGCCAATGCTCAAATCACTGAGCTAAGTACGTCCATCAAATCTGGAAGATTTTTTGGTGTTCATCGTAAATAACCGACACTAGAAAGAGAGAGACCAGGTGGGTGAGAGGACATCTTGTATTGGACCAGCTTCTATTGGTGGGAGGCACAAGGCCTGTGTAGCTCAAAAGCTTGTCCCACTCACCAACAGAAGTTGGCTCAATAAAAGATATTCCCTCCCACACCTTCTCTCTCTAAATTCCTGGGACCCATATGGGAACCACCACACCGCAGCCTAGAAATAACGGGAATTGTCAGGCACCAAAAGAAGGAATGTTGAAAGATATAAACACAGGAATAAGTTTGGATTAGCCACAGAAATGGCTTAAAAAGGGAGAAATCCCAGTTAATAACATGGGCTAATATTGAGATGGGATCCTGGATAAGAATCAAACATAAAAAAGCCTCAGATAGGGAAAGGACTGAAGAAATTTGTTATACGCCGGCGCCATCTAATGGATATCGATGGAAGCGTAAGAGAAACAGAGCTGGAATCTGAGCACTCAGCTGTCTGTTAGAAATCAGAGGGTGGTCCCCACCAAGGAGCCCTGAAATCAGAGTACATAAAGCTGAGGTCACCACACGGGACCCCCAGAATTGACTGAACCCACGAGGAAGCTTCCAAATCCCCTGTGCAACGGATGCCCGGACCGGCTGTGGGCAGTCTCCATATTCCAGGGTTAAGAGGATAAGAATTGGGGAGATTTCATTTCAGACTGGATTTCCCCTTCTGCTCTTTAATATAAGTAGCTAGGTGCCCATTCTCTAGGGAGACCTCCTGTAACCATAGTTAGGCGTTGAACTCATGCTAGACGAATGCTCTCCTTCGTAATGCAGGCAAACTGGCCCAAGAGAGATCTGAACTGAGACTTAAAGCAATTTTAAACTTGTCCCTTTTGCAACCAATCCATTCAAACAGCAGGGACTCAAAACTGCCTTACAGACAAATGCACCCGACCTCCTTGGAGAAACGCTGGCAGGGTGTTAGGTACTAAGAAACGATGCTCATAAGTAAATGTAATAAATCTTGCTGGTTTAACGGCTGAGCTCAAGCCTAGTCTTTGACAATTGCTTGCAAGACTGTGTTGGTGTGTGCGGCTCGTCCCACGAGCATTGGTTGCTCCTACATGTGAGTGGTGAACTGCTGAGTATGTTAATCTGGTTCTGGGTCAATTAATACACTGCTGATTGGTAATGTGTCCTGACTTGAGAAATACTGTTCAAGTGAAGAGCGGATCTGAAAAGAGCCCAGCGTTAAATGAGGACGTGAACACGCGCTGGACTCCGATACTGGCTACAGCACTTAGCCAACTGGCAGATCTAGTTGGTTGGAGTTCGGCTTTAAAATCTAACGGGCACCAGCAAACTCCTAACATTGACGCTTTCCGCACCCCCCACCCCCCCCGCGCACCGTGACGCATCCTCACCTTCGACCCCGACACGGCCATGTCCAGCTCAGTGCTGATGGCGACGCACGTCACCTCGGCGTCGTGACCGTACAGGACTTGGACAGGTTTGGGAGCCAGGCCACTGGAAAACCCACCCTGGAGAGAGAAACCAGGGTCCGTGGGCCAGATCCTGAGCCAGTCTCGGCCCCGCAGTGGAGCTGTCGCCGCTTAGAGCAGCGCAGGATCTGGCCTGGAAAGGCCCAGAGGAAACGGAGCTGAGGGGACAGATGCTGGGGATGGGAAGCGTTTGGAATCACCGTGCGAAGCCGCCGATGCTGCTTGCAAAGCCCCAGGGGCTGAGCGAGGCTGGAGAGGTAACCACACCCACGCTCGCCAGGACAGCTCAGGGCAAGCCCCAGCCACATGGCAGTGAGGCCGACGCGTTAGGGGAGCAGAGCTCAGAGCCCTTCCAGCGGGGCAGGCTGAACCGGGTAAGTTCCTATCCTCGTCTCCGGAAGGCAACCGGCCCCAGCACAGAACTGCCACAGAAGCTAGTATGATGGAGCAATCGCTGCTCGGGACAGGGCTGGACCAGGAGTGCGAGGAACTGGCATTGGGTAGAGCTGGGTGGGGAGGGCCAAAGGCTGGTGCTGTGGGCCAGGAGTGAGGGGCACTGGCAGAGCTGTGTGGGGAGGCCCAGGGCTGGCATGGCAGGAGGTACTGGACCCAGGGCTGGCATGGCAGGAGGCACTGGACCCAGGGCTGGCATGGCAGGGGCTGTAGGCCAGGAATGAGGGGCATTGGCAGAGCTGGGTGTGGGGGGCGCAGTACCACTCCTACCAGCCAATCAGCAACAAGTCAACCAAATGCACACAAAAGGATCCTGAAAACCTTTGAAGAGACATGGGGGTAGCCCTGCTGCCAGCGCGTCCTCGGACCTACAGAATGGTGCCTCCTAGCCCAGGAGCGAAACACGCTGGGGATCTGCCCTCTCCCCTACCGAGCCCAAGAGCCACGCGAGTGCCTTGCCAGGAAGTTCCCAACCACCCAGAAGCCTCCTCGGACCCCAGCCCCGAGCTACTGAGTGGAGCATGCCCAGCCGGAGCCGGTCTCCCCCTCACCTGCTGCAGGACCTGCCAGACCATGCAAGTGGTATCCCGGGAGCCTGAAATGAGGTAGATTCCGCACAGATCGAGCGCCAGGCAGGTGACCACATCTGCAAGGAGGGGAAGAGGAGACGTTGCTTCCGAGACGCCGACCCCAGTGCCCCACGATGCCGATCCCCACCCTGTTTCCCTGGGGCTCTGAGTTGGGGCTGGGATCTCATGGGTCCCCTTTGCTGGAGACTCCACATCCGAGAGGGGGGCTGTGGGGCAGAGCCCACCAGGCACTCCGGAGGGGATGGAAGTTAGTGACCGCAGGGTGAGCAGCATGGCTCATTTCAACCCCACTTGGTCCTACGGGCAGGTAACTCCTCCCCCCAAAGCACCAGGTCACAGAGATGAGCCACAAAGAGCAAGGGGTGGCTCCGGGGCCCTGGCTGGCCCGAAGCGTTGAGAGTTTGCCAGTGTCTTCCTAGTGCCCCCGTAAGTCATGCCACGGTTGATCAGCTAGGCACGGGGTGGAACAGCTGGGGGGCTGCAGGCCAGGGTGGAAGTGCACTGGGGGGATGGGACACAGGACTTTGGCAGGATGGTGCCTAGCCAGCGATGTGAATCCCTCCGGCCCACGCGCCCCGCATCGGGTTACCCTCCCCCACATGCCAGCCCGTCCGGGCCCCATACCTATGTGCCTGGTGATGTGCCCGACGACCTTCCCTTTGCTCAGCGACGTGACACGCAGGCTGTTGTCCCAGTGCCCCCCGCTGAAGAGGAGCTTCCCGTCGGGAGAGACGGTCAGTGTCTTCGAGGACACCTCCACCCCCGGGGCGAAGGGGCCGGAGAGGAAGCGCTGGGCTCTGGCGGAGGAGACGAGAGCGCATGGCTACGGAGCATCGCCCCCGAGAGCCACCTGCGCTTTGGCTCCCGGGAACTCTCCACCACGTCGTCAGCGGATTGCAACGGGGGGTCATGGGGAGGACAGAGGGCCGGGGCCTGCGGGAGAGGGGGCACGGGAGCCCCGGCTGGCACAGTCAGGGTGGAGGGTACAAGCAGGACCCAGAAGGGGGCAGTGGATCACCTGCAATCCTGTGTCCAGAGAAGGCATTTGGGGCTGCCCCAGGTCCCAGAGCAGGGAGGTGACCCAGCCAAGGCACTCCGCCGGGGTGCCCTACGGCCAGAAGACTGCTCCGTTCCCTCCCAATTAGCTAAGAGCAACAGAACTGGCCAAGTGGCTACGAGGACTGGCCCTTGGGAGGCGAATACCAGGAATGGGCATGCACAGCTTGGCCGGGGGCCAGGGGCCGGGGAGCAGGCCGCCGGTCAGGGAGGGTTTGGAGCCAGCTCCTCTAGGGGGCAGCTGGAAGAGGTGGGATAACGTTGTGCAAAGGGTGTCGCCGTAGGGTGACAACCGGAGGAGCGTGCCTACTGGCCGGGGGAGGGGTGGAGGCCACCTAAAACCGGACTGGACAGAGCCTCCAGGGACTCCGCGTCGGGGCACTGAATGGCAGGAGTCAGGGAGGGATCCGGTAACGGGGCTCCCCGCCAAGAGGACTCACTTTGCGTTGGAGACGGTGGGGTCTTTGGTGAAGCTGAAGTAGTTGGAGATGTTTTTGTCGTAGGGCAGCCAGCCGTGGGTTCCCAGCAGGCCGTTGGCGCTCACCGTGACCTAGGCAAGGAGAGGGATGCTAGCAGGAGAACGCAGAGTGCGCAGCCCCCGGGGTTACAGACCCACTCTTGGGGCACGGGAAGGCCGTGGCCGGTCAGGACCTCGGTTTTACGGCTTGTTCGAAAGGTCCCCCCCCACCCCCGCAGCACCAATGACGGCAGCGGTATGGCCACCCCTATCATGCCGGGTGATTCCGGGGTGTCCGAGCCAAGTACCAACCGGGCCTGACCCTACCTAGCTACTGCAACCCGAGGCAAATCACCGCATGCATGCAGGACAGATCCCTTCGCTCTCCATGTAATAAGCCAGAGGTTAGCTAGTGCTCTCGGGAACAGCCGGAGCCAACACCTGCTCAGCCCTTGTGCTTCGTCGTCAGCTGCGGGAGGGAGCTTTAGTTTCCCCAGCCAAGGGCTGGAAGTTGGAAGGCCGGGCGTGCGGTTAAGGTCCCCGAGCTGAGACCCAGGAGACCCGGTGGCCAGTTCTGCCTCTGACCCTCCGCGTGGCCTTAGGCAAGTCCCTTCAATGGCTCTGTGCCTCTGCCCTGGCCCTGTGAACTGGCAATCGGCTGCCCTGAGTGCACGGGGGCTGGGAGGATAAAATGAATGGATAGCAGAGGTGCTCCGATAGGTACCGGCTGGGGGGCTACAGACGCACCGAGCTGAGAGCTCCCTCCCCCCGAATTCCCAGCCAACAAGCCATGCCATGCCCCCAAAGGTACTCACCAGCACGTCTGGGGAGCCCTGCGTGATGAAGGAATGGGCCTGGTTCTTGGGGACCACAGCCTGCACCAGCGGGACCCCATCGCTGATCCCCTGCAGGAGAAAAGAGAGCTCCGGTGTTGCTAGAAGGCAGCTCGGGGGCTATGCACTGCCACGGCCTCGCCAGCACGCGCACGTTGCGTTAGCGCTGGGCATTATCGGGTGTTTATAGGGCCTTGGTGCCCCAGTCATGGACTGGGACAAGGTCATGCTAGGCGCTGGACAAACACACCAGAGAGTCCCTGCCCCAAAGAGCTAGGTAACCGCATGGTCTCTCTGGAACCCGTGTCCTCCCTCACCCCATACCTCCCCCTCTGGCCATTGCCACCCCATCACTCGCCCCCCTACCTTCCCTCACGCGCCCCTCCCTCCCTCCCCAGCACGTGGGAGGATTCCCTCGTAAGCTCTCCCGGGCAGGGCCCGCAGTTCTGGCCAGCTCCGCTCTTGGAGCCCAGCGGCGAGGAGAGCTCTCACCTCGACGAAGAAGGACTTGAGCTGGTCGAGGTTCTCGAAGACATTGGGGGAGTACGTGTCGAGCCGGGCCAGCCTCCTGGCGGCGTTTTCGGCCGAGAGGCGCACTGGGTGAGGTTCCTGCCGGGGAGGGGAGGAGACACCAGCGAGTCAGGAGGTGCCAGATCCTTGCCCCGAGTGAGATCCCAGAGCCCAGCCTCCCGGGAAGAGAGAGGAAGCAGAGGGCAAAAGGACCCAGGGGTGGGGGGTTGCCGTACATGGACCTAAGCCCTGTCTGAGGGAGTGGAGCTCTGCTCTCAGGGCCTGTTGGGGGATCCCCACCTTCCCCTCCCTGGGAGTTAGCCAGGTGCGCCCTCTCCGGCTCCCAATACCTTGAGCAGCTGGCAGGGGGTCTGCCCAAAGTTGCTGATGATGCCTTCCAAAGCCTTTCTCTGTGTCTCGTCAGCAATGGCGTCCAGGTCCACGGCCCCTGGGTGTATCATGGAATCGTAGAATATCAGGGTTGGAAGGGACCTCAGGAGGTCATCTAGTCCAACCCCCTGCTCAAAGCAGGACCAATTCCCAACTAAATCATCCCAGCCAGGGCTTTGTCAAGCCGGGCCTTAAAAACCTCTAAAGAAGGAGATTCCACCACCTCCCTAGGGAACCCATTCCAGTGCTGGTAACATGGATTTGGGGACAAAATTGTTTTGTCCTTTATAATAAGGTTACTTGATGAAATTGGTTTAATGTAAGTTTATACATGAATGTTTTATACTCATTTAGTAACATTGGAGATTGTGCTGCTCTGCCTTGACAGAATTGTTTTGTTCTGTGAAAAGTTGGTTTTTGAAATTATTGTCCTGTTCTGTGGGTGAATAAGTATGTGTGAAATGTAAATAAATAACTAAAAAACACGCCAGTAAACTACAAAAGGGGGGTGAAGAAACAAGATGCCAGCGTCATCATCCTGAGACCCTGATGGCTGGACAAGAGTGCAGAGCGACGACCCTAAAGTGCAAGGGCATCCGCCCTAAATTAAGAACAGGATACGAAATAAGGAACTGGAAAATAGCTGTGAAAACCACATGCTAATGATGAAAAAGAAACTGCGAAAACAACTAGTTTGTGATCAATAATTCAAGCATGACACAGCAGGGCTCACAGGCGTACCTGAGGATTCATTGCTATAAAAGAGAGGTGAGAGTCGAGGGGCTTTGGGTTCGTCCTGCTAAGGCTTCCCCCGGATCATCGCGTCGCGACAGACAGAACCCGGCTCCTCCCTACCCGTGATCCATCTAGCTGGCCGGTAGATTGATCCGGACCCTGGACTGGTAACTAGAACATCGACTGGCAGGGCAGTGTGTGTGTTTATGTGAGCATATGCTAGCTGCTTTCCTACTGTATTCTTAATAAACGCGGCGATTTGCCTTATCCCCTAAAAAAGATCCTGTGTGCTTCTTATAAGCTAACATGGGGAGCAAGAGAGGGGGGCGCTGTGAGTGACAGGCACTCACCAGAGAACCGCCCTGCCTGGCCAGTGCCTCTTACCCTCGTACGTGCAGTAATAGAAGACGTTGAGCGCCTCCACGGCGGCCGGGCCCCTCTGCTTGTACCCGAAGATCAGGTCGATCCACTCGTGGAGGTGGGCAGACACGTGCTCCGACTCCTGTTCCAGGGAGAGAACGGGGACGTTCAGCACCATGGGGACACACCAGGCTGGGGACGCCCCAGTCGGTCTGGGCCGCCTCTTAGGGAACCCCAGGCCCCCGCCCTACAAGCTAGGGGAGCAGTGAGTTTGGCAGGCCAGGTGACGGCTTCGCGGAGCCCCCTGCCCACTTACCAGCGCTTTCCGGTGCTTGTGGACGAAATCCTCCGGGGATTTGGCCCACTTCGGGAGGACGACGTCGTTCACCTGGTCGTTTGACATCTGCAGGCAGCCCAGGTCGAACCCTAGGGAAGGTGACACAGCAGAGTGGCTCACCATCCCTCGGCACGGGGTCCGACCAATGGCCCCCCAGCCCCGGGGCCAACACCGACTCATGCTGGATGCTATAACTTTGCTGCCCGATGCTATAACCAAGCAGGGCGGGGAACCCTGAGGATCCCAGGAGATCACGAGCCAGCCGTGGCACGTCTGCCAGGCACCAGCTCCTTGCAGGACGAAATTAGCTCCCCCGGAGCTCAGCCTGTATCCCAGCTCTGTCTAGAGCCCAGTAACGATGCGCACAGAGCCCTGGAGCACCCAACATGCTCCAGCCCCCGCTGGCTTGGGCACGCCACCCTGCATGAGCCAGTGAGCCCGGGCGCCAGCATGCCCAGTGGCTAGAGACAAGGACTGAGAGTCATTGTGACGATCGCGAGAGATCAACTAGAGTCACAGAACGCATCCTGCCCCTTAAATGGAGGCCCCAAGTAGGCACCTCCCCATGCCAACCCCAGCGCGCCTCTCTCCCCCGGCTCTAGACACAGGGCACTCCGGCCAGCTGTGCCGCGATGCCCCAGGAGCTCCCGTTACCGTTCTGGTTCTCCAGGAAGTCTGTGAAATAGAAGAACTCCGGGATCAGCTCCTTCACGTCCACCGGGTTCTCCATGCGCGCCTGCCAGGCCGCGGGCACCGAGTGAAACTGGCGGTCTGAGCAGTCAAACCTGCCGGCAAGAGGGGTTGGCAAGAGAGTGAGGCTTGGTCTAGTGGCTAAGGCACTGGGCTGGCACTCAGGAGAACCGGTGAACTCAGCTCCACCACTGACCCTTCACGTGTCTGTGCCGCAGCTCCCTAGCTCGAAGACGGAAGGGGCCTGCCTGTCTCTTGCTAGATACCTGTCCAGCACCAAGCACCACAGACCCCTGATCTCGGTGGGGGTTTCTAGGCACTAGAGCAATACAATCAATAACGCGTAGATTTTCCTGTCTTCCAGCGAGCTCCCGGGTTTACCATATGGTCTGAAGAAATCAGCCTCATCAGTCAAATCACTGTGTCCCTAGCCCTCTCGCCTTCTTTGTGCCGGATAACGCTCCTGAGTCACCCAGCCACAGTGGGATACAGGGCCGGCCAAACCCTCTTCCTGCTTTATCAACTCAGAGGCCAGGCTCAGAATCGGCTCTACGACACTAATAAAGAATATCTAGCGCTTTCGTCAGCAGATCTCCAAGCGCTTCACAGAGGTACCATCCCCATTGTACAGCTGGGGAAACTGAGGCACGGCACCGGGAAGTGACTTGCCCAAGGTCACCAGCAGAGCTAGGAATAAAACCCAGCTCTCCTGAGCCTGGAGATCTATTCACTAGGCCACACTTCCTTGCACAGACACACAGAAGGTCGGGAAGAGACTCCTCCCTCACTCGGACGCAAGGAACGTTTAAAAACGAGCCATGGGAAAAGATTCCCCCACCAGCGAGCGCTCAGGCTACGGATCAGTCTCCCGGGGACAGTTAGAACGAGCGTGAGGGGAGGTGGCGATCCTGCGTTAGCAGGGCCTGGAGAAGCGAGCAGGACCGTCCTGCCACGCCGGTGCTAGCCCAGCCCCGGGACTCACCGGCCGCTCTGCAACTGGATGTGAAGGGTGGTGAAGGGCTCGGTCCGGATCATGTAGTGCATGACGCCCGCCGCGTTGGAGTAGTGTGTGCCGTAGTGAAACTTGTCGATCATGCCCGTGGGGTCCTCAAAACTCTCGTACCTGGGGACAGAGAGGGGAGGGGAATGAACAGGGAGCGCCACCAAGACACAGACAGTGGTGGGGGGGAGGAGGAGGAGGAGGAGGAAGGGAATCCCAGCGGTGAGGCCGGAGTGACTTGCAATGCAGCTCTTGCCTTGACCGGGCTGGTTTGCCGGCATGTGTTGCAATAGCCGGAGCGATTGCATCAGGAAGAGAAGACTGGCACCTGAGAGGGCACAGCCTTCTTCCCAGCATGCCCCCACCCACCTTGCTGCTCGGCGGCCCAGGGCCTCTCTCCAGCCATGGAGCAGAGCGCAGGGCAAACTCCCCTGCCCACGCACGTCTCGGCCTTTTCTAGGCATGAAACGATTGCTCCGTCTCCACAGAGCAAATGGGAACGGCAGGCATCAGTGATCTGCCAGCCACCCCGGTCTCTAGGCCTTCGCTACCCCACGTGCTGGGGTCAGACTACTACGTCCAGGGCACACCACCGGCTCTCGCCGGCCGCTGTGATGCTCCGATGTCAGCCCCCCTCCCCAGCCGCCAGTCCCAGAACCCGGGACGTGCACTCACTTCTCCTTCACGTCCTTGGCGTGTCTCTCGTTGGCCACCCCGATGGGTTTGGAGAGATCCCGGAACACGTCCGGGTCGCTCAGGTCCAGCGTCTCGGAGACGTAGTCCTGCAGGATCCAAGGGAACTACGGAGGAGAGAGGCCAGTCAGATGCCTGCCAACTCCTTACCCGGCCCGGCCTGTTGCGGGGCCTTCAAACCCTAGTGCCGCCCACGGCCAGACAGACAACAGGGGAGTGGCAGAATGGGCAGTTTTCCCCAGGAGCACAGGGCTAGTGTTAGCAGCCGTGCTTCTGGGGCGGGCTGGGTTGGCCCATTGGGCCTTCCAGACTCTTACAGGGGAAGACATTCTCGATCCATTGGGAGAGCTAGGAGGACGCTATAAGTAGGAGCATTGCCAGCAGATCAAGGGACGTGATCATACCCCTCTATTCGGCATTGGTGAGGCCTCATCTGGAGTACTGCGTCCAGTTTTGGCCCCTCCCACATTATAAGAAGGATGTGGAAAAATTGGAAGGAGTCCAGCGGAGGGCAACAAAAATGATTAGGGGGCTGGAGCACATGACTTATGAGGAGAGGCTGAGGGAACTGGGATTGTTTAGTCTGCAGAAGAGAAGAATGAGGGGGGATTTGATAGCTCCTTTCAACTACCTGAAGGGGGGTTCCAAAGAGAATGGATCTAGACTGTTCTCAGTGGTAGCAGATGACAGAACAAGGAGTAATGGTCTCAAGTTGCAGTTGGAGAGGTGTATGTAGGATATTAGTAAGCCCAATTTTACTAGGAGGGTGGTGAAT